ATCTTGTTGCCTTTAAAAGGTGATATAACACTATTTAAGGTAATCAGCTAATTCAACAGCTGTATCAAGAAAGATGGTGTAAACTTCTATAAATAAATTTTGTCCTTTCTCTTGTGTGAGGGTCCTAGGTAGAACCATTAGACAAGGAAGGAAAATAGTGATTTTGGGGTTGGCTACCTATTTTACTTGTGCCTGTATAATACTAAAATATATCTATACAATAATAAAATATATAATATACAAGTAAATATAGTATCACCATCAAATAAAATGCGTTAAAAAATGTTGACTGCTCATTAACCTTATTACAACATTTTAGACAACCTACTTTTGTTCCATGGTATATTGCTAGTCTTAATTAAACCAATCAACTAAATGTTGAGGAAAGAAACTACACTGTACATGTAAATTGTTTTCACAGCAAGTATGTTGATGATGAGCGAAAAAAAAATTCAATGACAAAAAATTAAATATATACAAGTAACTTCACACTCTGAAAAAATAAAACAAAAGGAAACCCTCATTCAGTTTTGAAACCAGATCAGTTTAACATGAGACTTAACATGAGACTTCTTTTTTCAAATCAATGTTAAAGAAAACACCATTACACAAGCAGCAGGCATTTAGTAATGTCACAGAACAATCTGTATGTCAACCTAATAATTTGTTGTGTCGTATAAGTAATGATTTTCAGTAGTTTCTCCTCTATAATTATTTGTATACGAGCAAAATTTAACGATGGCAGTGGCAGCATTGGGGAAGGTCTATTTATCCATGTATACTCTATATTGACTAATGACAAAGGAGCTTAAAACATCCACAGACAATGTCCTTCAATGAAAGTATCGGAATTTTCTTAATGAGTATAAATGGTATTATTGAATTTTAATCCAATGCAATTCAAGTCTGTAATGTCACTGTTGTACAGCGTCCAACGGATATAGCCCCTAAAAACACCGAAAACGAAAGTAGAAAGCTGCACAACGAGTACACCCAAGGTAATGTTTTAACTTATTTCTTCATCATAACTTCATCGATTTTTCCAAACTAAACAATATTGTGAAGCTAAATAATATATGTCTAGTTTTAGAGCAGTGTTTGCTTTTGCCTGCAAATTAAATACTTTTTGTTAAATTTGTGATAAAATGTAGCGTATTTGTTGACATTTGCGAACGATGTTGATATTTACCACTAAATCAAGCACAAAACGCATTTGCTGTATCAAATTCCGCCGTTAATACAAACTATAGTCATCCCTCTACTTATATTTGAGTTTTCACCCTTCAACTCGAGCTGCTTTTAACAAAATTTGCGAAAAACTGCCTTGCCTTGTGTACAGAGTCTAGCACGGATGTGTACGGGGTGTAGATGGAAAACTGATAGCGATTGTACATGGTGTAGTAGGTAAACGAATGTCATTTTCTGCAAAATATATTCAGTACCAGAGCATATACACGTGCGCTGATGAAGAAAACGATTTATCTCGGGATCAGGGATTGTGAAGTGAATGATTTTAATTTTATTAAGGATAAAAATGTTTAATTGAATTGTCAAGATGTTACGCAACATGTATATTAATTGCAGTAAACAGTTTCCGTCCTGCTATACCACTTTTTATGCGTGACTATAAGGTAATAGGGTAAATGTAAAACTCAAAAGACCCCAATTTCATTCCATATTTAGTAGAACATTATGAACAGAAAATTCTATAATTTGTCTTAAACAATTTCAAACCATGTTCGTGTTATGCATTGTGAACTAAACTTGATCTAAACATGTTATATTTGTTTATTATGTCACCGGTCTTAAGACTTCATTGAAAAACAAACATTTGTTAATGAGCTTTGGTAAAATATCCGCTTTGATTAGTTATGTTAATCATTAGATTTATCTTTGTGGAAATACTACATTACTGGCTATAAAGTCCTTCATATTTTTTTGCAGTCAAACTCGGGTGACCTCACTTGTGATTTCGATATTCAGTTTAATAAATACAATGCTGCCGCTTATATGCTGCTGTTTTTTCTGAAAATGATTATGATGACTCTTGAATGATGATGATGACGATGATGATAATGATTGTATTTTTATGTTTTCATTTCAACAATGCCATACCAATGTACAGAGTGTGCAGAGAGATATAAAACATTTAAATAGTCTATTCGGCATCCTCTAAGTCGACTAATAGCTTATATAAGGCGGCTAAAACTGTTTTATAGAAGACAGTGCTAATGCCGTTTTGTAGAAAATGACACTCCTGCATAATCTTTTAATCAATTTTCGACCTCCTTTCTTATGTGTACGTTAGATATACATGTATATTTATAAATATATCCCCATTCGGACCATCTCCATTCAGCGAGATGGTTACAAGACTCCTCAACATGTCTAATAAATACCGACAGACACTATTCAGCTGATGGTTGAGATGGTATGACAATAAAAATTAAACGCAGCTATACTGTTAGGCTCAAAAACACTAAAAACATAAATTATTTACCAAATACCTCTGTATCGTCCTCTAACCTATCCATGTTTAGTCTGATATGAGATTATTTCCAATTAAGAATAATAAGAAAGACTATACTTTATAAATATGTGACTGCTAGACACCGTTCACATCTACTAGACCCTGTACATTAAACAACTACACTCCGTTCACTTAAATTTGTTTTCTTTGCTAGACTCTGTACACAAGGCAAGTCAGATTTTTGCGAATTTTGTTAAAAGCAGCTCGAGTTGAAGGGTGTAAACTCAAATATAAGTAGAGGGATGACTACAATTTGTGTAAAACGGCGAATTTTGATACAGCAAATGCGTTTTGGGTTTGATTTAGTGGTAAATATCAACATCGTTCGCACATGTCAACAAATACGCTACACTTTTTCGCAAAGTTAACAAAAAGTAGTCAATGTGCAGACAAAAGCAAATATTGCTCTAAAACCAGAATCATTAAGCTTCACAAAATTGTTTAGTTTGGACAAATCGATGAAGTTATGATGAAGAAGTAAGTTAAAACATTACCTTGGGTGTACTCGTTGTGCAGCTTTCTACTTTCGTTTTCGGTGTTTTTAGGGGCTATATCCGGTGGACGCTGTACAACAGTGATGTAGGTATTTTGTAACAAATGGAGAATAAAAAAACCAGGCAGGCTTAGGAGCATTGTTTCTATGTCAGCTGTATAAGTTAATCTTATCCCGAAAGTTATGAATTTAAAATTCATGTACCAGTTGAAAAATGAACAGCAAATTCATGTATCAATAATAATGTACACGACTAATTCATGTACATGTTGTACATGACTAATTCATGTACAAATTTCAAAATGGATAATAAATAACTGTTCCAATTGCACACAGACATAAAATTCATATTGCTTATTTCAAAGCAAGGAATAAATTAAAGGAATAACATAATTTTGAGAAAAATTCACCCATCATTTAAAATAAAATTCCTAAACTATTTGTAAAAATTAATTTCTCTTCAATAATTTGGTTTTTATTACAAATAATTATCTCTTAAAGCGAGTTATTGATATACATGCATGTATACAATATGTTATTAGCAAAAACATTGTACAGTTCGTAAACTACAACATTTCTCTTCAATAATTTGGATTTATTATACAGAAAGTTATTGATATACATGTATACAATATGTAAATATGTAATTAGCAAAACAATCCTACCATTCGCTAATTATAACTTCTATCATGAGGATATTAAATTAGCAAAATGTAAAAAAAATAATATAAATTGAAAAATATATAATATAAAAAAAAAAATATTGTAAAGTGTTAATAACTCTAATTTCTAATATTAGGATATTAAACAAACAATACGTCATAATAATTAGTAAATATTGTACAGTGATAATAATTATATAATGAAAATTTTATGGTGTTTTCTGATTATAAAATATGAATTACATGTATGAAATCACGATGAAATTATTGACTCTTTTCACAATGTCAATGAAACATGAGTTAAACAATGTCATACACATGAATATGAGACAATGTGATGTGATACATGTATAACATGAACAAATAATGGTGAAATATAAAGCTTTTACAACAGATAAAGCACACTTCTTTAATCTTAAAAACAAATATCTTTATCCTTAACCTCACCTAATTGTGTGTAATGGATTTGCCTTTCTTTGAATTTGGAACAGTCCATTCAAAGTTTAAGGGATTTCAAATATCAAAATACCAAAAAACATAAGCTATGTTACTGCAAACAGTATAGAGCCTGATCAGACTGCACGGATGCGCGGGCTACGATGGCAAAGGATAATTACTTTCAATTCCAGCAGGTTAAGATTCCCATTCCCTTTTTAGTGTTCGTAGTTTTGGAAATACTTGAAAATATAACCAAAATGCATCAAAATTCTTTTGTACACACTATGAATTTGTACCCAACTATGATCAACATATTACAGAAAATTTATTCTTTTTAAATTACTTTGAGCAAATCTTAACATCAAAGCGCTATGGGATAAAATAGAAAGAATACAATGCCTGTATGCATAAGTGAGAAAATGTGTATTCCGTGTAAGTAACACTGCTCTGGTATCAAATAATATATTATATACACAAACACGTTTTTCAAGCATATGTGTTGACACTTGCTATAAACATTTTAGGTGTAAAATCACACTATGGAAAGAAAAAGGAATGAAGAGACAAAATAAAACATGTGCATGGTTTGTTTAAGACATATTGCTCTATGTACATTACACGACTACAAAGCATATGTGTTAATTAATAGGTAGCACTCTATGTAACTTAATGTGTAAATCACATTTCTTCATAAGTACTCAAATTCTACATTACATAACTACAAAGCATACGTATTAATTAAAAACACCGTTTTATATAACACAATGCTTAAAGCACATTTTTTTAATGAGTACATTCTAAAGCGACAAAACACAACTAAAAAGCATATGTGTTAATTATAAACACGGCTCTATGCAGTGTAATGTTTAAATCATACTTTGGCATATCAGCTAGAATCTCGTCTTCAGTTAGAGGCATTTCGTGTGCCTGCAGTCTGGAAAACAACATAATTACATGTACAATATTTTCACTACAATATACAATATAATACCATACAATAATTAACATGCATTTACAATCATTCTACTATATATTTATATCGAAAATATACAAGTATACAATTTAGACTATGTGTAGAAAATTTACATGTTTACACATATGTATATGAGAGAGAAAAAAAACAATACATATTGCATTTTTTTTTTAGGTTTCATTTCACTATTTAACTGAAAGACACAAAATCAATAGCGAAATAATCAATATCAAAATATAAATGTTACAAAGTGCTCAAGTTGAAGCAAGAAGAATGAGAAAATATTGATGAATATATGAAATTATGATTTCTAATGAAAGTGAAAATCAAAATATGAATTTTCAGAAGTGTAAAATAAACATCAGCATGACTTTGATTATAAATCAAAATCAACATGGACTTTAACATTTAAAGAGGAAAAATAAGCATTAGCATGAACTCTTGTTAAAGAAAGAATACAGAAATTAAAATAAGCATGAACTATGTTTAATAAAAGAGGAAAAATTGGATCAGCATGAACTCTTTTTATGGAAAGAAGACAGAAATTAGAATAAGCATGAACTATGTTTAATAAAAGAGGAAAAATTGGATCAGCATGAACTCTTGTTATGGAAAGAAGACAGAAATTAGAATAAGCATGAACTCTGTTTAATAAAAGAGGAAAAATCGTATCAGCATGAACTTTGTTATGGAAAGAAGACAGAAATTAAAATAAGCATGAACTCTTGTTATCAAAAAAAGAATGAATTAGCAGCAGCATGAACTGTAATATCAAATAAGGACAAAAGTTGACAAAAGCAAACAAAAAATTGACTTTAGAGTGTAGGGTAAACAAATGTCATCAGTTTTTGAAGAGTAAACAGCAAATGCAGACAAGAACTAGAAATGTGTTATATAAAGCACATGACTGCTCCAACATTCCCCTGTCTACAGACTGTCAGTGACAGACAAGTCCCCACACCCCTCCCCACTTAGTTTATTGAGTGATTAAAAATATGTTCTGCAAATAAAGGTGCAGACATAATTCTCTACCCTTCTTCCACCTATTTTGTGCAATGGGGCTGTCCTCCTTTAAAGTCTATTATATAAACAGGGAAATTCCATTATTCAAACAGGGAAAGACCATTATACAAATAGACTTACTACGGAATTAAGAATATTTGGGTTTTTCCCAGCTAGTAACGTAGGTACAAACAAACTTTTACAGTAACATTTTAAAAAATAAGCGAAAACAGGTTGACAGATCTTAAATGTGACGAATAGTGCACCGTGAAGCTATAACGGTAAAAGTTAGTTTGTACCTACAGATTAGCTGGGAAAAACCCTCTTTGCTGAGTTCCGGATAACATCTATTGAATTGGTTGAAGGTTAAACAGTACATGTCTGTGAAGCTGCATGACAAGTATAAAAGCAATCAAACTTTAATTAAAGGTTTCTTGAATGCATATTCAATTCCAAATACAGCAACATAGAATCAGACAGAACAAGCAATTATCATAGTATTGCAAGCAATCCATAAGTCCCCTACCGGTTGGAAACCCAGCAACTATCTGATGGGCCATTGGCCAGTCAATTTTACCAGTGAATGAATGACATGAATGAACTTAAATCTTTTGAGTTCTAAGTTTGTCTATAATACAGTAATGTGTTAAGTTTCCCTGCCTAGTAAGGAAATTATGTTTATACAACCTTGCCATATTATTACGATGTGGGATTTTAAAGTAAATCCTATAAGGAATGAAGAAGTTGGAGTGAATAATACCAATTTTCTCGAAAAAAATCTAAGTTCAAGGGGACATAATTCTAGAAATAGTCTTGCTAGAGTATTTAACCTTCTCAAAAATGTTGAGTGATAATAAGAAACATATATATATGAAGTTTGAAGTAGATACATTAGGAAATAAAGAAGTTATTTAAAAAAGACAACATTTTATTTCATAAAAATTCTAAGTTCAAGGGAGGTAATACTGATAACTGTTGTGCTAGAGTTGTAAACCTTGTCACATATGTGGTTGATGACCAGAAACTTATATTTAAAGTTTGAAGTAAACACCTTAAGAAATAAAGAACTTATAGTGAAAAAGCTGAAAAATTTAAATCAGAAATCTTGAAATTCAGGCTATTTGTTGCCATAGCAACCAGAATTTTCAACATAGGAAGAAAAGAAAACAATGTGCATAATCTCCAGACTGCCATCTACCCATATTTCAAGTTTCATAAAAATATTTTCAGTACTTTTTGAGTTATCACTGGATCCAGTTTATGTGTTAAATTTGCCATATTTTCAGACTATTTGTTGCCATAGCAACCAGAATTTTCAACATAGGAAGAAAACAAAAAGACGTGCATAATCTCCATACTGCCATCTATCCATATATCAAGTTTCATAAAAAAAAATTTAGTATTTTTTGCGTTATCGCGGGATCCAGTTTATGTGTTCAATTTGCCATATTTTCAGACTATTTGTTACCATAGCAACCAGAATTTTCAACATACGAAGAAAAAAAAAAGACGTGCATAATCTCCATACTGCCATCTATCCATATATCAAGTTTCATAAAAATATTTTCAGTACTTTTTGCGTTATCGCGGGATCCAGTTTTGTGGACTGACTGACGGACGTTCTCACAGGACAGTAATAATGTGGCTACTCTATTGTTCAATCCATTGTTCTTTTTAGCCACACAAAAGAAAATAGCCACATAAAAGCATAACGGAATGAATGACATCAAAGAGAAAAAACAGTTACCTATTGTCCCTCTAGCCACATAATTACTGTCCTGTGAGTGCGGACGGACAGACAGACGGACAGACAGACAGACAGACGGACGGAGGGTAAACCTAAAGTCCCCTCCGGTTAAACCGGTAGGGGACTAATAAAAATATTTTAATATGTCTGTCTTATGGCAAGATTTATCCAACCAAAGTTCAATTAATGTCTCAATGATTGAAATTTACAGAGTCCTTTCTTTAAAAAGTCAAACTGTTTCATAATGTAAAATCAAGAAGTTTTGAGCTGAAAATCTTATTTTCCTAGTTTATCGTTACTGATAAACGAAAGTATGCAGTTCATGATATTGGGTATATTAGTATATTGGTATTTCTAATACAGAACACAGATTTACTTCCTTCCGGACGGAAAATGGGCAACTCCAGAAAAACAGAGCAAATGACAGTAAGAGTGGGATTTCAATATGGTAATTTTTTCACAGTTTTGTTCCAAAAAATATCACAAATGAATTCCTATAATTCTAATACAGTTATCACTAATATGCAAACCATTAACTTTGTATCTAAAGTTCATTTACTATGAAATAATGGTTATATAAATCTGACAGTTTTTTTACTTTACCTTCTACAGCTTGAACTTTTTTTTACCTTACTTTTATTAACTGCTATAATAAAAGGTGCAAGTTATGAAATCCTAGTTTACATTCTTCTCAACTTTGTCCAAGTTTTTCACTTTTATAACTTCAGTCACTACCCGATCACTACAGGAAGGACTGATTCCTTATGAAATCAAAGTATAATAGAGTGCATGTACACTGTACATGAAAATTATTAAATTATTCCTGAAACTAACCAGTACTAAGAATGGAGTGTAAGGAAACAACAAGCTTATCACTGACGGGGTTTGAGCCCATGTGACCTTCAATCCTTCAAATACTAGCTTAATGTGTTAACCACAATACCAAGTTGCCACATTTACCAAATTGACCACAAAGGTCCTAAAAATCACTATTATCAACAAAGGACAATAAATTATAAGCTTCACACAGTTGCCCAAATTTCAAAATATGTGCGGCTTCAAGAATTTTAACTTGTGAACTTATCATTCTTTTCATAATTCAATACAAGCACTAGTTTCAAGGATCCATGACTGACATAATCAAGAAAATCAGATTTCATATAATATTTGTCTAAAATTTGAAGCAGAGAAAAAGAATACTTGAGAATTTGATTACAAGATTTTGAAGACATAGGAAGTATAGGAAAAGTTATCTGACATCGTGACAGAGCGATTGCTATTATTTTTCTACTATTATTCTGGTGAAGAAAAGAACAAATAAAGCGTGCATTAGAAGACAATGTCTTGACTAGCCTATGTTAGTCTAAAAGCACACACTGGTATCAACAGGGTTTCAGATTTAGAAAACACCTACTTTGGCATATCCCTCCTAATTTCTTCAGGTCGCAATAAATCTTGTCTGAAATGGCAAAATTTCCATTTATATCATACAGTCATACAGATATCAACAGCTTGAAGACGGGTGGAATTAAGATACTAAAATACAAGGTACTATGATAAGCCTATAAATGCTACACCATACACCAAAGGGCTTACGACAATGAAAAAAAATGCTGAAATCTTGCTATGTAAGGCAAAAACAAACTTGCACTGGATCATCCAATTTCAGCTTTAGCTACTTTATAATTATAATTACTTTCAAACAACATGCAAATAATGTATGAAATGTAAATGACAAAAAGAAAATGACAAAATTTTTCTTTGCGATGATGTAAAATTTATGAAATATTTATGAATAAAGGGAGACAACCACTACAAATGAAGAAGTTTACTCAATGGCATGATTATCTTTCCTTTGATGAAATATCATGTAAAAATGCCCATGCTTTCAATATTGGTGATATTAAATGGTGTACAATTTAGTATAAAGGTATGTGTTACAACAAGATATTTCACAGTAGAATAAGTTATATAAAATACATGAATATACATGAAAAATACTAAACCTTTGTTTGGAGCTGATTCTACATATTAAAAGGAAAATAAAAAGATAGAAAAACAAAATGAACTCAGGTGTTATTTCTAAAATGATCTTAACATTCAATTTATAAAACGACAGAACTTTGACTAATAATTTTACGAATATTCATGGACATTTAACTTTCTATTGAAAAAAATAAATCATTTAGAAAATAAGATTTCATGAGAGCCACAGCTGAGCATCAAGTACTGATTTGGATTTTTTCTCAATTAAAAAAAAAAATGTTTCAAATATATAAGGTGTGATATTTGAAAAAAAAATTGTAAAAAAATCAGGTCTAAACCAGCCATCACCTATACAAACTGTAACATATAATGTCATTATCATTTCTATAATATAAAACACAAATTATGTGATACCAGATTGTCTAAAGAAAAAAATATCACGAGTTTGATTATTATCTAGGAATAAAAATATTAACCAAAAAAAAATAATCTTTTCTATGCAAAGAAAGAAAGGGATTAAAAAAGAATTGCATAATTTTTATCATGAGGCGAAAAGGTTCTTTATATTTATATTTTTCAGCTTTATTTAGCTTTGTGTATCCAGAAGATTTAGTTCTAAGACTTTTTTTTAATTGTAAAAACACACATAATTAATTTATTAAAAATCCTTATAAAAAGGATGATCCCTCAGAAGCATTAATTACAACAAAATAACATGACATCCCTCATGCCCACTATCAACCAACACCCATTTCCAGCACCCACCCACCTCCAAAAAAGACAGTGTAGTCATTTGTACAAATTGTTTCAAAACTTAAAATTATCATCTAAGTCAGGTCACAAACCAATCCATTGCTTGAAATCAAACAACCAGATCGATCCTGCAGCACTTGACATCATAAAATCTCCACTCTTTTTATTTTGGAGAATACAAATTACAAATATTCAATGGATGTTCAATTTATACATCACAATTCCCTCTCTTCACATCACAGAGAACCGTAAAGCAAACCATGAAATAATTTTAGTTATAGCATCGTTTGGGGCAAAAATAATGGAATGAATTTAGTTTATAGCACAGCAAAGGGCTTAAATAATGCAATAATCTTGTTTATAACTGAGTCACCATGAAGTAGTTAATTTATTTATAGCACACAATAAATGAATAATTGAGTTATAGTAGTCACAGGCACAATGATGTAATAATTCCAGTTATGGCACAGTGAAGTGCCACAAAGATGGAATACCCTTAATTATTGCACAGTAACAGGCCATAATGTAAAAATACATTGGTTATTGCACATTTAAATTGCCATAAGATGTAATTTTCTTAATTATGCAAAATTTAACAGGCACATGAAAAATAACCTATTATGGTAAATAAACCTTTAGTTATGGTACTTAAAGTACTATTCAGATGGAAAAATCTCAATTATAGCACAAAAATGGGATACATTGATAAAATAACCTTAGTTATGGTACAGTTAAGTGCCACAAAGATGTAATACCCTTAATTATTGCACAGTACCAGGCCACAATGTTAGAATAACCTTAGTTATGGCACAGTAAAGTGCAAAAAACATGTAATATTATCTTAATCATAGCGCAGTTATTAATACAATTATATAATAACCTTAGTTATGGCACAGATAAGTACCATAAAGATGTAATAATCTTTAAATCTCATACCGTAATGGACCACCAAGATAAAATAATCTTAGTTATGGCACAGTAAAGTGCAACAAAGATGAAATACTCTTAATTATAGCACAGTAACTGGCACAATGATAAAAAAACCTTACATATGGCACAGTCAAAAGGTCATAAAGATGGAATAAACTTTACCTGGACTCTTCTTCGTGATAGGTAGGTTGCCGTGGTGATGGAGATTGGTGGACAGGTGTCACCTGGACAGGAGTATAAGATGGTTTTACAGGAATCTCGGGTTTTGCAGCTACTGGTGGTTTGTACTTAGGCTCACCTGAAACAAACAACACTGATTTCTTACATATATGATGAAAAACTTTATTCTCATGTCCTAAGCATTCTCTAAGATCTTGTAAAACAAGAAGAAAATAAGCTCAAATTAAATTCCTTTAGATTAATATTACAATGTGACATAATAAACAAATTACACACCATATAATGTTTTCAATTATCAAGTTACTTTCTGTCAAATATGCAACAATGTCATTTTTAAATAATGATCTATAATTATAAACTACTGTTTTATCCTTCCTACTTTTTTTTCAGTATTACTCATATCATTATCATTGCATAATTTGATATGATATGATAGCTTTTTGTCAGTTGCTATACACCCGAGAGGGGCATTTGTCCGAATCAAATATCACTGGAAATCTATACAGCCGTCCTCCATACAGCATAAACCTTTTTACAACCACAGTATCAATTCTTCCCAAGGAAAAATTTAATTAAACACAATAAATTTAACCTCTATAGTGCAATACCTCTCAAAAACAACTAAAATTTTTATTACGCAAAAGATGCTGCTCTGCAGAAGTTTTGCTGTATCACATACATTTATCGGATTATCATACACTTTTATCGGATGGCGAGACACAAGTCTGACAACCCTAGAAAATATAAACGTACTTGGTGGTGTAGATGGTTCGTCATAACTAGGAAGAGGTTCAGGTATAAATGAAGGTTTCGCAACAGTCAGTGTCACATGTTCTGACGTCGCCTTTAATGCTGCAACAGCCTCGTCGTGCGTTACATTCTCCAAATTATCATCGTTTACCTGTAATATATGAACATTTTCCAGTTTATAATCATGTACTAGTAATAAAAGAATTCTTGAAATTACTATAACATTGATATTTTCTGGCAAATTTGGGTCTGAAATTCGGCCCCATTCCTCTCTACAAAAAGAATATATCATTCTCATATTTCCCATAGTTCTTGGTTTTTTCAAGATCCAGTTTACCTAATGAGGATCATATATTTATAGTCCTGCCACCATTTCCCCCATATGTGAAACAAACTGACAAGTATAAAATTGTCACATCTGTGCAATATGACCAGGCTGTTGGATGGCAAAACTTTTTTTCATCCTGGTATCCCCAAAAAATGAAAATGCACAGTTCCCAATATTGAAAACTGGGCAAGTTCATTTACAAAATTCAGCAGATTATATATAGGTTAAATGACCAACAAACAACAGTAAATAAGATTTTACTGAACTTTTTAACATAATATGGTCATATATCAGGCTAATAAAAAGATCAGGGAAGTATCGTCCACTCCATACCATATTGTCTCCTGAAATAGACTTATACAGCCTGTACTGTATAAGTGGATATTTACGCGTCATAAAAATTTTGCAAATGTCTGAAAAGTGGACTTTTTGTGTGCGAAAATATTTGCAAAAATATGATTTCTTGAATTTAATACTTGAATTTAATACTGTTTTTGTGATATCATTAATAAAGCAGGTACATGTTAAGAATATGCCATTATTGTCATCGTTCTATTCAATTATTTAATACCATCATTATTTATATAATTGTTTGAAATAAACATTGCTAGTTTGATAAAGGACCTGATCACATATTTCTTGGTCATATTTTGAAACATTCTTTTGTTATATGAATAACCTATTGTGTTATTAACACATTTATTGTTTCATAAAAACATTTGTGATTTGTTAAGACCAAACTTAAACAATCAAGCAATGAGAAAAATTAATCTCAGTACCTGAACAGTGAAATTAATTCATGTAACATGTTGTATGAAAATGAAAACATGTTTTCAAATGATAGGAGAAAGTTTGCCTAAAAATAAATAATTTTTGGGTGATCAAATATTGGCGAATAATTTCAATTCACAAAAATCGCAAATATTTCCTCATCGCAAAATTAACCACTTATACAGTATAATCAGAATGGGCTCTTCAAGCCGAATGTTATTGTTTATCTGATAATGGAAATTACTTGTATGAATGACACATATTAGAAGATTAGCATATTTATCCTCGGTCCCGCAGGAATAAATTTATCTTCAGTTTTCTCTAGTGCCATTGCTACGTCCAAAACAATGTGCTTATGAAATGCCTACTGATATTTTGAAGCTATTGTATTTGATATACTTGTGTTCAGTCAGGAATGGAAATAAAATAATCAAGAAAAAAAACATTAAATATATTATCCCATCAGGTTTGATTTTAAAGACAGGTACTAAAATTATTCTAAAACATATTGCAGAGCTCATTAAATAATTTTGACAGAGTTAATACCCCTTTCCCCCTCTTATTATACATGTAGTATTTCCTTTATGAATAATGTTACCTCTCTTGAAATTTTAATCAATTTGAAATATAAACATTTTACTAAAGATCAATTTGAAATATAAACATTTAACTAAAGCATATCTATACAGAACGTAGATAGAAACTCTTTACGAGTACATGTACTTTAATCACAAAATATCAATATAAAATTTAATATACAATTCATAAAATGCTTTCAAAGTAACTAATAACTTTCTTAAATCTGAGAAAAGTTCCCTACATTAATATGACAGGAAGCAGATTTTATGATGCATCAAAATTCAAAGAACAGTATGTACAAACAGTGGAGAAAGGGTTCAAAGACTCCCATGAAAATAGAACCTAATGTTAACCCTACATCATGAACACTACATGAAATATTTCCATAATTAACTTAAAACACTGATTTTCTTCATCACTGCCATAGTCAAATACTTACAGCTACTAATCTGTCGCCGACTGCTAGGCGGCCATCTTGTTCTGCAGCGCCCCCTTCAATCACCTTGGTTACAAATATCCCATCATCCCCTGGAATGTGTTGATTTCCTATTCCTCCAGCAATACTAAAACCTAAACCTGAAAAATTAATGATAAAAGTTCTTAAAATTGTAAAAGAAAGCTTACTATTGTAAACAATTTAACTGCTTTTTCCCTTGTTGGTTTAGATTTAAGCCATTCCAGCTCTGAAAAGGTGTTCCAGCAACATTTTAACTGAACTTTGCATATGGATGACGACCCAGGGTTTTGTTTGCATAAATCATTCAGGAACAATCGGATTACTAGTAATCTAAGGATTGCTGACCGCGTGGGTTCAAACCCTGTCAGGGGCAAGCCGTTGTTTCCTTGAGCAAGAAACTTTACATTCATTGCTTAGTACTGGTTGGTTCCAGGAACAGATTCGAGAGTGTTTCAATAAGCTTATAGCTTCCAACACAATCGAACTAAAATAAATTTGTATAAACTAAACTAATCGGCTTCTAGACCAGGATCATCAACCTTCCATAAGCTAGCTAGTAGTCATTTGTTCATATATCAGAAGCCTTGTTTTAAACTAGTACATAAGTTATGCAGTATCACAGGAGACTAAACTTTCATAGGTAAAGAGAAAAGTGGTTCACAATAAGTAACCTAGCATTAAGACACAAAGGACCATATAAACTACTATCAAGTCTAAAATAACATTTTGTTGTTTCTATACCCTTTCCCTGCAGAATTTCTTAAATGGACATGTCCAACTCTCATTTTTGGAACAGTCTATGATTGGTTTGGGGATATCATAATAAAATTTTAAAGTAAGCCAGCCACCTGAGTAAAGAGGCTGGTGAGACTGCACCAATGTGCAGCCTGGCCTGTCTATATACTGGAGGCAAAGACTAATCAATATCAGTTAAGGCAGGTTATACATGTAGGTCTGTTCAGTCAAAAGTCAAATTCCAAAATCAAGGAGTACAATGCTTTACTATCTTACTGAACAACTGACAATTTTTCTTGAAAAACACTCCTGAAAAACGAACTAATGACCTCTAGATTCAAATTTCAAAATTGAAATAACATCCATTTGTCAAAGTTTTGACATTTTAAAATAATCCTGTCTTCTTTTGGACAATATTCACTGAAAACAAACAGACATGAAATATACCACTAAGAACTAAATGAGAATGCATAAAGCATGATGTTCACTAGAACATCAAACTTTTAAATAAACAAGATGGGATAGTAGATTTTTTTTAGATTTTTTGCAACCAGACATTGTTTGAGTTGTAACAAGTATGTCAATAATCTATACTTTAAGAGACATTCATACTACTATTTTATTGTTACAGCTTCTATTTGTGAAAAACACAAAGATAGATATACAATGAAAAGCAGTAAGTGTCAACAGTATGTTGTCTTACGGTAATGCTTTCTCGCCAAAAAATTTCTAACATCGGCCAATATCGTAATGAATCCGTCATTTCCGAAACAAAATTTTTCTAAATTTTCAGTATTCAGTTTTTTTACTTTTTATAACCAGAATTTAGTACATAGCTATAAAGAATGAGTGATTGGAAATGATCAAATGCCCAAGATTTTGAAATGATAACGCTCTGTAAGTAACCGACTTGCTATGAAATTGGTGGGTATTATAATTTTTTGGCGGGAAAGCATTTCTGTAAGACTACCTTAAACTTGTGAGGAAAGCATTGTGTTGTTTTTTGTTTTGTTTTTTGTTATGTATATTTGCATTCATTCCAGGTCTAGACAGTACTGCTGCCCTAACAAGCATCAGGGGTGCAAACTCCAATGTCAAAGCTGGACAAATCCATCAGATAAAGTGATAAGCCTTTCCATGCTTAATATCTTAAATAAACTAAAATCTTGTCCATCTTTCAATCTGGACAAAACCATTTTTAATTTTTAGCACCGTAGGGAACGTGTTACAGTATCGCGTTTTTCGGTTACAGTATAGAAATTTCAAGATGGAGGATTATTTATGGGAAGAGATGTAGGTTATTTTTATTCAGGTCCATACTACTAGTAGTTTAGTTTCTAAAAGATGTTTTTGTGCTTTGCTTGTAAGGAACAGAATCCGGTATCTAGTCATATGTTTCTTCAGACCCTGCACCGCAGATTTATCTCTATATTGTCTCATAAATGTGCAGATTTGAAGGTTTAAAAATTTGAATCGAGAGACCAACGCATTTTTTTCCCATTCCGACATTATTTAAGCATGCCTACATAAAGTAAATCTACAAAACGTTAGTCTTTTGTATTTAGAAACGTTTATAAAAGTAAATGACCAGTTGAACCTATTTTCCTGTTGGTAAAATGCGTTTGAAAAAATAAACAATGTTACAGTATAGAGCCAGGTTAATTTTGAAGGGTTACAGCATAGACCTAGTGACTTTGAACCCATTGTGTTACAGTTTATACCCAGATTTTGGTTACAGTTTAGATACATTGTACTTGCCAAATTTCAAACAAAGTTCGTGTATCCATTATTTTTATGAAATAACTCATACCCTTCTATTTAATACATTCTTGAAAGGTTGTATTACTTTTTTTCTTCGGCAGAAAAGTTATAGTTTGCTTTTTTTCTTACTTTAAGTTTCAGATTGAGACTTTTTGCAGAATAAGTAATGTCCTAAGTAAAGACTGTTTTCACGACAACAACAGTAACTTTTATTGAATTGTATTGAGAGAAGAAAGATTATTGCTTGATTTCATTACACATTATAATAATGCCTATTAGTAATAAAATAGAGAAAAAAGAATCCTTAACAGAAGTCCAACACGGAAAACATGAAAATGTTGCAAGATCAGTTTGATTAAACCTGTTCATGGACGGTAGTGGTAACTGCAAGCTACCTTCCATGCCTCCTAGCACCGGCTTCAGCAGAATTCACATTAAACATGAACTGGTACACTTTAGATTTTTTAACATCTGTGGATGTGTTCACATGGTGGTTATCATGGAACCTTCAATGTGACACGTTATTGCCATTCTATGAAAAGCGGCATATTACGCCCAGGATAAATTCGTGTGCCCTAAACGAGAATACAATGAGTGAAACTAAATAAAATGAAATTTTGAGAGGGGATCGGAGGTTATGAAGCCTGCATACCATAGATAAGCTGTCAAAAGACACAATTAACAAGCAGGCAATACCCCGAGAATGATTAAACAGTATTTAAGTGAGCAATATTTCAATCTATAATTGTATTTTAAGTTGGAATTTCCATTTACCATAATGTATTTTTAAGTATTTAAAAGGGTTTGTTACATTTGGCTTTCTTGGATTTTAAGTTCCAACGACACTGAGGTCATGTGAAAACATTCCTGTTTTAGTGTAAAGAAAGACGCCAGATACCCTTTGTGAAACATTTCAGACACAAGCGGGCACCTGACTAGAACCACCGACCTTCCATAAATGAGCTTGATAGATTCCTCACATACAAAGAATCCAAAGTCATGATTGGATTTCAACTACAGCAGTAAATGAAAGATAGCCTTATCCCGACTCTGCCACTTTTATGTACCTCCATCAGCCTCACTAGAGAAGATATTTTAATTGTCTGACCTTAATTTATACTTTCAATATTATTTTCTTTTTCAGAATCATGAAAACTGCTATACAGACTGTCTGAAATAAGAAAAAACGAGTTTTAATTTAATAATGACAAAATAATCATAAATTCAACAAAGAAGCATTCGAAATGTCGCCATGATCATGATTTGATTTGAATGCTTTTGGTTCGAGACGAGAAGGGTCTTTAAACATTGCCTTTTTTCAAAATCTGTGTTTTGGGTTTTCGTATCCCCGATTGCAACCGAAACCATTTGAACAACTAATTGGTAGAAAGTCATGTAAATTTCATCACATTTATTCAAGTAGTTACTGAGCGGATGAGATTGAGCACACACATATACGCCATCGGGCCAATAAGCTCACAGAGATTTAAAAGTCTATGTAACATTCATACATTTTACCTAGTATATATAGAAAATATCGAAGTCTAAACTGTAACCGAAATCTGAGTATACACTGTAACAAAATCAGATAAAAATCGCTAGGTCTATGCTGTAACCTTGCACAAATCACCTCGCTCTATACTGTAACATTGTTTATTTTTTCAAACGCATTTTACGAACAGGAAAATAGATTCATCTGGTCATTTACTTTTATAAACGTTTCCTTACATAAAGGACTAACGTTTTGCAGATTTACTTTTTCTAGGCATGCATAAATAATGTAGAAATTGGAGAAAAATGCGTTGGTCTCTCGATTCAAATTTTCAAACTGTCAAATCTGCATATTTATGAGACAATATAACGATAAAACTGCGGTGCAGAGTCTGAAGAAATATATGGCTAGATACCGGATTCTGTTCCTTACAAGCAAAGCACAAAAACATCTTTTAGAAACTAAACTACTTGTAGTACGGACCGGAATAAAAATCACCTACCTGTCCTCTCAACAAATAATCCTCCATCTTGAAAATTCTATACTGTAACCGAAAAACGCGATACTGTAACACGTTCCCTACGGTGTTTTAGGGAACATTCAAAATATGTTCTGCCTTTATAGTGAACAATATGTACTGACTGAATATGAAACAGACTGAAGACCATGTGTCAGCTGATCCTGGTCTGTCGTGGTCACATTAATAAAATCTGTTATCGCCGGCACGGGTTACAAGTTTTAATAGTGGTCTAGAATTATTTCCCCTTCCTGCATTCAAAGAGTAAACAAGCTTAATTTTTTTTCTACTGCTATCAACAACACCTTAAAGAATGGATATAATATGAGGTCACAAAAGTCAAAGATTTTATTTCGTCTTATCCACTCAAACTATTTTTTTTTCCATATCCACTCAACTAAAACTTCTAAACTCATTTAAACATTATCTGAAACCTTTCTTAATGGCACAAACAGGAAAACATAAGAAATCAGACAGCCTATAAAACATAAATGTCACACTCCCATAACAAGCTCCATTTTTACGAGCACGATAAAAACCATGTCTAAAAATAGAAGCAATATTCTATTGGCATTACATGGATAAAAAACTAGACATAACAGATATTCTTTGTA